ACACAACTGGCCCCAGATTCCAGAACGACCGGAATCCCTGGAACTCCGTGTCCTCGCTAGTATTAATGACTGTGGCCAATTTCAGGAGACATCTTTGAGTTCATATATCTTTGCACTTCGCTACCATCGTCTCACTCCACGCTCTGTCGTGAACAGTCTGGATGGTCTGGCCGCCGCTAGGGGAAGCATAGCATGAATGCCACTCAGTTTTCATTGAGCCCTGACTCCTGACAGGGCTCCTGGTGCTGGTGCTCAAGATCCGAAGTCAATTCTGTTATATCCCAAATCGATTCCAAGCCTGAGACTTTAATTTAAACTTGCTTTTGACTTGCTCCCTTGTGAGCGCATTTCCGATTCTGTTTATTTTTTTCATGCCACCTGGACTTGGTTCCCGAAAACGGATTGGATGTGGGTGATTATGGGTCCTTTACATCCCAATGTTTGGCTCGTTATCCTGCTTTGACGCGTTATCTTCTTTCTCTGTACCGGCTCCGGGCTTATCGACCGATGATCTCTTTTTCCTCTGTATGGCTTTTTTTTTGGCTTGGGAACGGACTCAATTGCTCTGTTGTTCTTTGGTGGAGGCTGTCTATCACCGCCTATCGCTTTGGTCACTGATGTTTTTAAAATTGCCCTGCGAAATAAACGCTTTACAAGGCTGATCCCCATGGGCGAAGCTGTATGCTGTATTGTTGAGAACCTTCTTTTGCGTGGCAGGTGGCTTGGCCTTGTTCCCCTTTGGGCGACGGAGCAGTTGGTGCCGGCATTCGCCGCACTTTGTATCGTGTCGTTTTGTCGCTCCTGTAGTCAAATTGTAGGCAGAATCCTCCTCAGGGCTGCTGAACGAAAACTATAATGTCCAGTCCTCACTGTTACATTCTCTAGACCAGTTTCTGCTCCGAGGGGATCTTATTTTTCCCGTCATCAATTGTGGACCACCATTTTCGAAGCTGATTCTCGGCTAATGCTTTGTTGCCCTTAACCATTATGATCCTTCAGCTTTGGTGCTTTGCTTGACGGATTTGCCCCAACTGGTCTTTAAACGCTTGTTTGTGGGTGACCTGAGGACCATTGTTTCGGGTTGCTCGTATAAAAGCCTCCGAATCGAACTTCTCCGCCGTCCCGCTGCTTCTGCTGCCCTGTTCTGTGCCCCCCCGCTGTCCTGGTTCCGATCTGTGTTATCTGGGCAACCTATGCCGCGCTCTCCTCCTCCCCCAAACCCTTCGGTAAATTTCAGAATGGCTGCGTGTTTTTCCATGCCACCCTGATTCTCATCCGCAGATCGTGAATACTAGTAACCTCTTGCCCTCGGTGAACGTTCTTTTCGACGAGGTTCGTCAACGTGAACGTGCTGGCTCCCATTCGTCCTCTGGTTCCCGTACCCCCGTCGGCCTGGTCAGGTTTCGTAAGTGGTTGTAACGCGATTTACGGCCTACTTCACTACTGATCCTCACCGATTCGACAGCCTGGACCGGAACGCGCTCTTATTGGGCATGGTAACTCTCGCCCCCAGTTGCCCCCGCTGCAAGTTGGGCATCGCATGGCACCGCAGGCTCGTTTTCAATATATTCTGATATATCCCCGAAGCTGAATATGTTCCCAGCAACAACAGATGCCTCACGTACCTAGGCCTGTAAGGGCCTTCCTAAATTTGAGATACGTTTATTTATTGTGAGTGTCACAGGGAACGGAAAGGTACCTGGCCAACAGTGAATCACCACCCCATGTCCACGCTCAAGCACCCCTCCCGGTGATTCCGAACCGAATGGGTGGCCGATATGCACAAACACCGTGCCACAGCAATGGTCAACCACACGCTGCCGGTGTAATTTTACTCGTTCGCCTCACTCTCACCGCCCTAACTTGGAATCTTCTAGTTGATGCCGATTTCTCCTAACAGAGCTTCCTCCGCCCATTCAAGCCACCGGCGGCCGCGGGCCTTGACCGTGAGGGCATAAGTTTTTCCACCCTCCGCTTGCTCTGACGGTTTGTCTTTTCTAAAGACCGGGTCTTCAAGACCTGCTCCTTCGACGAGCGGGAGGGAGGTGGCGAATGAGGCCGCCTCGCGTCTATTTCATAGTCTTCTGGAGTCTGCTGGAAATCCCACCTGCGCTCAATGCGTTCATGACCTCAGAATTGAAAGTCGGCGCCAGGTAGTGGGGACTCACGGCCCGGCCTTCTCTCAGTTCGCTCATGGCATCAAACCACAACATCCCACGGCGCTCCCGCAAGTGCAGGGTTTGATCACCATCCCATTCACTCCCAAGCCCATCAACAATCAGTCGGTGCTGTTTGGTGTCTCGCTTACGGAAATTCTCGACTTTCGCGATGTCCTGGATGACCCACGTGAACGCGTCCTGGACAACTCAATGAACAAGATTTTATTAACTATAGAGGTTTGTGGGTTGTATTTTCCGATTTATTCGCAAATTCAACCTCGCCGACAGCACCCTGGATACCCTGTTGTAGTCAAACAAATATCGGGCAACTGTCCTCACCGCCCGGTCTCCCGCTTCAACCTTGCATTCAGCGTAGCTGAAGCGTATTTCTCTTTTTTCAAAGTACGCGCATATAAAATAAAATTCTGCCACACTTTTTTTGAACCGTGTTCCATAGACAAACCAATTTGACCCCGCCGTCGTTCCGAAGAACTCCGCCGTGGTTCGCTCCGTCACGCAGATTCGTCTGGTAAACTTGTATACAACCGACAGGACCAACTATAGGGCCCACGTCGCTTATGTCTTTTAAAGAAACCGTGCTCTTAGATTAAATTGTTTTGTTACTCCCTACTGCTGTCGGTTTGCTGTGCTTAAATTGCTGTCGGTTTTGTAGTTTTAAAATTCTATCCTGTCTTTATCGAAATAGTCTGCGTCACCGAGGACGAGACCAAAATTTCATCCGAGCTATCTATGTATATGCTTAGGACGTGCGCGTGTACGAAATATTCGCAGGTTGTTGTCAGCAGGCAATACTTCGCTACTTGAAGCGCGAAGGTCCATTCGTGAAAGGAATACGCCGTCAACAAAAAAAAATCTCTCTCAGGCTAAAAATCATACAAGTTCACCTCAGTTCCAGTACGGGGAGTCGAACCCCGGGCTAATGCGTGAAAGGCACCGATGTTACCGCTACACCATGCTGGAGTTGATGCGACGGATGTGGAATGAACCAGATGCATCGGACGGCGCCTAGAGTCAACAATTCCGATATTCTTTCTTCAATCTCTTCGCATACCAGAATCTCAGAAAAAAACTTGTGGCAGAGCCTCTCCTTCGCGCGGAAGCTAGCTTACACCTCATCAAATCTAGCCTGGTGCAGTTTGATAATGCCGGTGATAAAAGTCTTAGATGATGAGCTTGACAGGCTGCCGGCAGGAGATGTGCGCAAGCGGCCCACAAGCAGATGCACCACATCTAAATCAGAACTCGGAAGACGTTACATTGGAAATGACTTTTTTCTCCTACCTCCCAACGGTATCGAATCGCCACATCGGCGCCTATTCCTAAGGGGGTTACCACGAGCGGATACGTTTAGACGAGTGAATCAGTGATGCGCAAGTCCAGATTTATTCCCAGTCAGGCCGTCGCACTAAGGAAAATGAGAATAAGAAAGGCTTAAGCCCAAAAGCTTTTGCACATACTTTCAATTCCTATTATATGCAACATGCCACGCCGCATCAGTGAAGGTAATACAGCCTGCGCCGCCGCCTTCCATGCCGTGAATGTGTCGTTCGAGGCGGTTGTCGGCCTGATTTCGATTATTTTCAGGGCGCGGAGGTGATTCACAGTAGCGTCGATGGCAGCGTCGAACTCCTCCGAATGGCTCGGAAGTTGGTGTAGATTCACATTACCCTCCAGTGTAAGCTGCTCAAGGCAACTATCGTGCAGGCACGTCTTGAAGACGGTGCCAAGCAGGTCCAACTCAAACCCCAAGAAGATGGTTAAGTGGAGGAAGCGCAGATTTGCACTAAAGAAATTTCCATTCCCTACCAGGACTTTAATCGTGGACGATTTGGGCTGGCAGGGTACTCACAGGTTCTCTGGTCCCACAGCAAAAGGCGTAGATGCTCCACACTGGGGCCGGCGTTCGTTGCCTGCATTATTGTGCTCATCCGTTCGACCGAGCGCGTCCCAATTGTGAGAGTGCTGACACGGCTCAGGTCGAACCGCGGATTCGCGAGATAGTGACAAAAGGGGCTACCGCGGAAATCGTTGACGAAGAGGAACCGAAGCTTGGGGTGCCATAGCTGTAATTCTGGCCACGGCTCGTAATCGGCCTGCGTGAAGTACAAACGTGATAGCGACATCTCCTTGAGAGCCGTCGCTTCGCCGAAAAATGATAGTATCTGGGATGGAGACTGGAGCACCAGCCCGCGCAGGTGGACGGCCTCGAGTCTCGGAGACGAAAACACGTCGGCCAGGGCGGATTGCAGGTGCTGGTCCACTTTATTCCAGTTCCGGCTGAAAAAAATGCCACTCTGTCCATTCTCGATGATGGATATCCGTGTCAAGTTGAGGAGGGGGAGAACAAGGTGTAGTGTTCCACTAGGCAGGGCCCAGTTGCGGCGATCGGAATAGGAGGAAACGATGCACAGATCCTCCACGAGAGGCGCAATGTGAGGTGATGAGCATAGAAGCTTGTAGAACAGTTCACATGTGTTACTACAGGATGAAAGAGGATGAGTAATTTCAATTTTCCTGAATATGTGCTTTCTGGCGGAATCGACAAACGGCCGCGCGGCCAGAGAGCAAGACTTGAGACTGGGGATGTTGTTGTGGATATTGTCGACGATTGTGTCGAAGGTCCATGAGGTCCTTTGGTAATAAAAAAAAGGGGGAGCCTTACCTCAAAATGAGGTTAAGGCCCTTGGTGGTAACGGTGCAAACCGTGACCGGTAACTCGCTGTGTTATCACACCTCAAAAAAAAAAAAAAAAAAAAAAGTAAAAGCGCAGAAAGGGACCATCTTCCCTGTCATGGGTACCCTTCCACACGAGCTAATATCTCCGGTGTGGTGTAGTGGTTAACATCGGTGCTTTTCAGAAAAAAGAAAATTACGTAATCCGCGTAATCTGACATCGCACTAGCCCGGGGTTCGATTCCCCGCTCCGGAATTTTTTTCGTGTCTTGTCCTTTTTCTCTATCTCTTTCTCTCTGGAACTCCCCAGTCCCTCTCCTCTCACTTGATTCTCCCCCCAGAACAAGATATGGTAACAACAGATTAAGCGAATATCTAAGTGTACACGGTACATACAACAACCGAAAGTGAATAACAATATAAGGAACGTAGTGTGGTGGAGGTACAGATGTAAAGTCCAAAGTGTATACAGTAGTCCGTCCATGTCAAACAAAAAATACAGTCCAAAAGGGAAATCATCTCCAAAACGGATTCTTCTTGGCCTTGGTCGGCGGCTCATAATACTCGTCAATCGTGCTCCCCGAAAAACGGGACGTGACATCCCTCGACGACGACCTGAGCGGCTCCTTGGGCTCGGGCACGCGGTGCGGCATGCCCGTCACCTGCGGGTACAGAGACGGCGCCGCGAGCGTGCTCGCCGTGCTGACCGACTCGTTGCGCCCGTGGCCATTGACGTTGTCGCGCGAGAGGTGCTGGTGGTGGTGGTGGTGGACATGCGAATGCTGCGCGCGCGGATAATCGTAGTTCGCGAGCAGCTTATCCATGTCCCGCGCGTCGCTCGCCTCCTCCGCCGCGCGGATCTTCGCCATCTGCACCGCCTCGCTCTCGGGCAGCGGGCTCGAAATAGTCTTCTTCTGCGTCTCCGCCTGCGCGCGCCGGCTCGCGCGATGCCCAAACAGCCGCTCGCCGAACCGCACGAGCCGCCACCGCCACCCCACCGCGTCCAGCTGCCGCGTCCGCGCAAACCGCGCCGTGCGCTGCGCGCGCTGCGCCCGCGCGCGGCGTCGCCACAGCCACACGATGCCGATGAAGACGAACGCACACCCCAGCGCCATCAGCAGGATCTCCCACCACGCGAGCGCGCGCCGCGGCGCCGCGGCCGCGGTGGGCGCGTCGATGCCGGGGGCGCTGGGGAGCGCGGGGTCGGCGGACGCGGGGTCGGGCACGGCGACGAGCTCGGAGAGGCACGCGCCGAGGCCGGGCACGACGCGCGTCGCGTGCGTGCACTGGGCGGCCACGCATGTGCCTGCGCGGAGCACGCTGTCGGCGCCGGCGCATGCGAGGCACTGGCCCGGCCCCGCGCCGGAGCAGCTGGAGCAGGAGGCGTCGCACGGGATGCAGGCGGCCGCGGTGGGGTCGAAGAATGCGGATTTGGGGCAGGTGGAGAGACAGCGGCCGTTGGTGGGGACGGGGCGTGCGGCGGGGCAGGAGGTGCACTGATTGAAGGAGGCGCCGGTGCAGGTGGCGCAGTCGGCGTGGCAGGGGAGGCAGGAGCCGCTGGCGGAGAAGGTGTTGGAAGGGCAGGTGGCGACGCATTTGCCCGACGAAGCGAGCTGGTTGGAGGCGCAGGTGAGGCAGAACGTCGAGGAGCCGGTGCAGGTGGTGCAAGAGGAGTCGCAGGCGGTGCAGGTCAACTTATCGGCCGCGACGAACGTCCCCGTCGGACAGCTCTCCACGCACTTCCCCTGCGAGAGAAAGAAGCCGGGCACGCACCCCGTGCACTGGAGCTCCTCTACCCGCGATGCGCCGCTGAAGTTCGGGATCTTGCACGATGTGCATTTCGCGCCGCAGCCTAAGAAAAAGAAGAGGCAATTAGTAACGACTTTCATGTTGCAACGAGGTGGGAGCGACGCACTATCACACTCGTTCTTATTGTTATCCGCAATCAGGCCCCCAGTCCCCGCACACACCCCGTTCGCGTCCGCGCCCACACACTGGCTGGTGCCGTTCACGTTCACGAGGTACGTCCCCTCCGCACACAAAACGCACTCCGCCGCCGTCCCGCCCGTGCACGTCTTGCACGCCCCTGCGCAGGGCGAGCAGTTCGCGCCGTCCGCAAACGCCCCGGGCGGGCAGGTGGTGCCGGAGGAGGTGACGCTCGGCGCGGCGACACAGCGCGTCGCGTCGTTTGCGTCCGGTGTGAAGCCCGCGCGGCACGCGCTGCAGGTGCCGGTGGTGGCGGCGCAGGATGTGCAGCCGATTTGGCAGACTGCGATAAACGACGTTAGCAATCGTAAAGGAAAGAGCGGAAAAAGAAAACGCACCCGAACATCCGCCCGCCGCCGTCTGGAAGAACCCCGCCGCGCACTGGGCGCACTGCGTCCCGTTACCCGCGGTCGTAAACCCTGCGGTACAGGCGCAGCTGCCGTCGGCGTTGCACGCCCCATTGACGCAGTTGCACTGCGCCACCGAGCTTGACCCAGAGTCCAGACACCGCCCGCTCCCCGTCGGGCCGTCGTCGCAGGTCTTGCACCCCGCCGGGCACGCCGCACACCCCGCCCCAAAGAACCCTGGGGCACACGTCTCGCACGACGCGCCGGTGAAGCCGGGTGCGCACGCGCACGTCCCCGCCGCGGTGCAGATGCCGGAGGAGGCGCAGGGGGCGGGGCACGCGGCGGATTCGAGTTGGACGAGAGAGAAAGTGGAAGGGGCGGTAGGTGGGAGCTGCGAGGTGTCGGGGACGGAGTCCCATATTACCACGCGTTGCGTCGAGTTGGTAGAGCTGACGGCGATCCACACGTTTGGTGGTAGGGTGAGTGATTGCAGCGCCAGCGGCGTCGACGGCGCGTTCACTGCTACGGGCGCGGCCGGGATAGCGGTGAACGCGGCTTGGCCAGAGTACAGCGGCCCATTGTATATCGCCAGACCAGGTTCCTGAGCGACATTGAGCGGCAGCGCAACGCCGGAGCCGCTACCGCTGGTGGTGGTGGAGTTCTTGAACCCCGGGGAGGACGCGAGGGAGGCGGAGGAGGAGGTGAGGAGGGTGTGGAGGAGCTGGGGGTTGGTGGTGGATGTGTATTGGCCCGGGAGGAGGAGGGCGGAGGAAGAGGAGGGGGCGGATATTGTCACGCCGACTGTGAGCGACGTTAGACAAGAGATGTGAGAGAACTGGCAGCACACGCACTAGATGTGTTGGAGTAGCCTTGAAGGCATTGGCCTGCAGTGCAGACGATGGCTGGTGGGTTGGTTGTTGCCACTGCGAGCAGTTAGTACGCGGCGCGCCTCAAAGCTTACAGACACTCACGATTACTGACAGAAAACAAAACAGGTAGAACAAGCATCGTAGCTTGCTTGTCGCAGTCGCGATATTACGCTCGGTGGTGGTGGTAGCGGAAAGAAAGAGAGAGGACGCCACCAATGGTGAGCTCGGGCATTGTGGAATGCAGCGCCGAAAATCTTTTGTTCCTCGCACAGTGGAATTGCCTATTGTGTAAGAACAATGGGATTTTGAACCTGCCATTATTGGTCGTCTGCACCGCCATTTCGGCCATTCTACACACAATGGAGGACCAGTAAGAAGCCAGGAAGCTTGCTGAGGACCGAAGATACGTTGAATGAGGGGATGAGGACCAGAGGCGTTGGATGAAGCCTTGGGCAATTTCATGGGGGTGCAGGATTCCATTGAGCTATCGGTCCAGCGGGGCTCTTCCATAGAGCCAGACTGTCATACGAACCAAGAAATTGCATTTTTAAACCAGCTGGAGCTATGTTTCTGCAGGAGGATTCCTGGAGGAAAGCCAAAAACGGACTGCGAAGAGGTTGTTGTGGTCTATTTGTACACCATCAATGAGAATACTTATCCGCTGGAACCAGCAAGAAGAGCGACCGTAGAAACTCCGAGAAGGACGTTAAGTGAGTCTCACAGGACTCGAGAGGAGTCATCCTTGGAGTCCTTTTAAGTAGAAACCGCGTTCCCAGAAGTGACGATGCAATAAAACATGTCGGCCGAGGCTCCAGCAGTGAGGAAAAGGTGAAAAAAAAACCCCCCGCCACAACAGCAGTAATGGTGATGCGCACGGCACTAATGGAAAAGGGGACAGAAAAAGTTACAAGTCCTCAAACGTATCTGGGGGTGTCGAATTTGTGTTACGGAAACCTCCCTGTGATGAGGGAACGCCCTCAAACTGCTCGTGTGTCGACTCATGGACTCGGAGGTGAGATGCAAAGCCACGTCACAGTGGAAAGAGAAGATGAAGCAACCACATATATCTAAAATATCCGGTAACGAGAAAGGTGAGAAGTTGCCACATTTGGGCAAGATGAGGTGTAGGCATTTAGACCGAGACGACGAAGGTGCGGTGCTGTCGCACGTATCGCACATGGACAGGAGGGAAAAGACGGTGTGCTTTGAGCACATATATGAGGAAGAAGAGATGTGTGCAATCACGCATAGACCACATAAAGGCGCCATCGCGCGGCCGTAGCAGATAGTGCATAGATCTGGAGGTGGGCAGTCGCGCAGATCAAGATACATACACAATAGTGCAAGGATGTGCGCGTCGCGCAGATGCAGAGTACACGAAGGTGCGAAGAGAGGCGTGAAGAGCAGCAACGGCGCGAGAAAAAGAATCGCGATGAGTTGCCCAGAAAGGTGCAGATAAGCAGCAACCCAGAAACGCCGAATTATTGGAAAAGTGGCGGAAACAACCCTGAACGTGTGAAGAGGACGCTGAAAAACTCGGAGACGCGACGCGCGTTAGGTCGAGGTCGGCGGGGTCTGGTAAAGCCTCAAGGTCGTTTTGTTATGTCGTTTGGAAAAAAACATGAGGGGCAAGCCTTCAAGAGTCGCTCCGCTTTGCACAAACACAGTCTAAGTTGAGGCTTTTGCCAAAAGGTCGGCGCTTGGGAATAGCGGGAAAACAAATAACAAGGCCCTACTGTTAGCTCGATCTAAATTTCCAGAGGTGGTAAAGCCACTGCTAAAGCAGATTCCGCTTTGGAGCTACAACCAAGCCGATCGCGTTCTCTCCAGATTGTACGCAAAAACCATATCTAGTGCAGCAGGGTCCAAGAAACGAGACATGAAGCAACCCAGCATAAACAAAGAAACAAGAGATAACCAGGAGGTGGGGCAGAGAAGACAAGGAGAAAGAGCTGAAAGAGTTTGAGGAATGAGGATCGACGAGCGGAGCAAAGTACTTGGATGACAGGTGGCGGTCACACGGCGTAGATCTTGCCTTTGCTTTCTACCGCCGA